CACCGTTATTGAAAAGGGGGTGGATTTATGTTTAAAGAAAAAAAAATTAGTATTTTTTATCTTTCTTTCTCAAAATGTTTGTGGGACTGTCCTTGCAGGTGGTTAAGAATGAAATGCTTGTATTAAACATAAAACTTCACCCAAAAGTAATTATGCCACACACCTTGTTTGACAAGAAATCTGACCTCAGTTATAATAAAAAGCAGACGACAACAACTTGTCTTTTATTCTTTGCAAAAACAGAAGTGATATTTAACAAAATCTCCAATTTTGAAGAGATATACAGAAATGTCCATGAGACTAAACTATTCAACAATGATTATCAGTCTTTATACTTCAAATAAACATTGTAAACAAATTTTGATTATTAGAATGAATTCTTCAACAACATTAGAAATAAACTTCAACAACATTAAATAATTATACTTCAACAACATTAGAATAAAACATTAACAATGAATAAATTATACTTCAACAACATTAGAATGAATTATACTTCAACAACATTAGAATAAATTATACTTCAACAACATTAGAATAAATTATACTTCAACAACATTAGAATAAATTATACTTCAACAACATTAGAATAAATTATACTTCAACAACAGAATAGCTTCATTTTTGAAAATACTTTTTGAATATCTCAATCATTTGCTATCATATTACTCCCTTTCTTCAGGTAAATAAAGTTCTGAGAAAGTCATTTATTGAGCATAATCTAATACAATTATAAAAGATCTAGAAAACTTATCCGAAAGTGTTATATAGTATTGGTGACAAGCAAACTCAATTGTTCAGCAAGGATAAAAATCATTACACTTTCAGTAAAACAACAGTGGAGACAGTAGTTTGCTTACTAAAAATTCTTAAAGAAGTAGTTGTTAGTCTTTGTTTTACTATTCAGCTATGTCTTTTCTTTAAGAAGAAAAGAGTTAAAATTTAAAATGTCACCTATATTTTGTTTAAAGTGGGGGGGGAGCTAAAAAAGAAATAGGTAATTTTTTTTTCTATTTTCCTCATGATGTTTGTGGGACCATCATATTGTTGGAAAACTCTTTACAGGTGGTTAAAAATGAAATGCTTGTGTTAAACACAAAACTTCCTCTAAATGTAATTATGTCACCAGTTTTGTTTAACAGGAAACCCAACCTCACTGATAATAAAAAAAAGCAGATGTAAAAAAAAAAAAAAAAAAAATTATTTACTTTTTTTTTTTTTCTGCAAAAGTAGAAGTGATCTTTAAATCTATATTGAAAGAATATTTTTTTTTTTAATTTCCTATGCATGAAGAAAAAAACCTGATTGGTCAAAAACTTCATTTGTTTATCAAGTACAAACATACTTTGGTTTAGTTTGGTTTGTTGTGTATTACGGTATATCAACCTCAATGGGTTATTTAATGCCGACAACTTTTTTCCTGGTAATGTTTTTTTTCCAAAAAAATCTATTTTGTAATATTTTGTCCAAAAAATATTATTTTCAAACATGTATAGCCGGTAATATTTTTTCAAACATTTTTTTAATCAATTTTCAAACATGTATTTTAATATTATTTTCAAAACATGTATAGCCGGTAATATTATTTTCAAAACATGTATAGCCGGTAATATTATTTTCAAAACATGTATAGCCGGTAATATTATTTTCAAAACATGTATAGCCGGTAATATTATTTTCAAAACATGTATAGCCGGTAATATTATTTTCAAAACATGTATAAGTAATATTATTTTTCAAAAATGTATGTATAGCCGGTAATATTATTTTAAAAACATGTATAGCCGGTAATATTATTTTCAAAACATGTATAGCCGGTAATATTATTTTCAAAACATGTATAGCTGGCAATTATGTCATTCATCTTGCTTGATGAGAAATTTGGTCTCTGATAATAAAAAGCAGAAGAAGACAACAATTTGCCTTTCATTCTTTGTGATTTTTAACTAAGTCTACCCCATATTGAATGGTATATTTTTGCTAAAAATTTGAATTTCTATTAAAAAAAAAAAAAAAAATTGATGGCTAAATAAAAACTTACTTCCCACCACTATAACATAGCTTCCCTCGGCCTTTTCCATAAATATCTTCATGGTAATTGTTCTAATGAACTGACGTCTTTGGCACTAAGACTGATTTTGACAATTTTGCCTTTACACCTGGTATATATATATATATATATATATATATATATATATATATGAGCATCATTTGTTCTTGCTTTGAATAGTGCTGCCACATCTGGTCTGGTGTTCCTGCTATTTAATTAGAGATTCTTGATAAAATCCAAAGAATCTGCTATGTTATTGGTCCTGACCTGGCATCTCACGTCTTCAGTCACTTTGCCACTGCCATAACATAGTTTCTCTGGGACTTTTCTATAAACAACTTTCATTGTAATTGTTCTGATTAACTTTTCTCTATAGCACCTCGATTTTATGAATTTAAGTGCAGTACTAGATTGGCAGCAAGGTCTCATCATTTTACATTTGAAATGGCTAGATGTAACCATAAGCTAGTAAAGTGCTATGTGTGACACACGCTTGGGTGATCATGTCTCTTTTGATTCATGACTGACTAGGCAGAAGATTTTCCTGCAGTAGGTTGCCATTTCTTTCTGCGATAGACTTGTTGCCAACCAAGGCTATAGGACCCATTCTGTCCTGTTATTCAAATCATTGCATGGACGGAAGAATTAGATAAAGCCAGTAAAGTGCCATCACGTGATACACACTTGGTATGATCATGTCTCTTTCGATTCATGACTGACTAGGCAAAAAGATTTTCCTGCAGTAGGTTGCCATTTCTTTCTGCAGTAGACTTGTTGCCAACCAAGGCTATAGGACCCATTCTGTCCTGTTATTCAAATCATAGCCCGACGGAAGAAGAGATAAAGCCAGTAAAGTGCCATCACGTGATACACACTTGGCGATCATGTCTCTTTGATTCATGACTGACTAGGCAGAAAGATTTTCCCGTTATAGGTTGCCATTTCTTTCTGTGGTAGACTTGTTGCCATCCAAGGCTATAGGACCCATTCTGTCCTGTTATTCAAATCATAGCTGAGTAAAAAAAAAAAAAAGAGATAGTCAGTGAAGTGCCATACGTGGGCGATCACGTCTCTCTTGATTCATGGCTGACTAGGCAAAGGATTTTCCTGCTGTAGGTTGCCATTTCTTTCTGCATTAGACTGGTTGCCAACCAAGGCTATAGGTCCCAGAATGTCCTGGTATTCAACCCACAGCTGGGAAGAGAAGAGATGAATTCATACCTTTCCCAAGGGTATTTGTGCATAAGTGAATCAATGAAGCTGACTGGGTTGTAAATAATGTAAATAAAAAAACTGGCTTTTTTGTGCACCTGCAGAGAATGATAGAATGGAATGGTTTCAAAATTTGCAAGCTATTATTCATTTAGGATTATTATTCTGCTATTCAATTATTCTATTATGATTATTAATCATCTATTCTGTTTTTTCAATTATTCTGTTACCAGACTGACAGACACCTGAAGAAGGTCAACATGTGATAACAACAACAAAGATGAGGATATTGGTCTTACTGTAAATAATATCTCTTCATTACAGAAATTCAAACATAAAAGATAAAATAAATGACCAATAAAATACAAAGACACTAGACTAAATGTTTTAGTCCTGATATAAAATAATGCTGAAATTATCTATCATAGCCTTTTTAGTCCATCCCAGAAATTGACAAAATGAGAACCATCTACTGTTGTTGATGGAATAAAGTGTTTTATTTGAAATTCTCTGAGCATTACCTAGATTGGCAGATATTTAAAAAAGGCTGGAGAGCACAATGACCAACATGTTGTGATAACAGCAACAAAGATCTGTCTATATTTCTGAGATGAGGTATTATTTACATTATTCGGACTATTGTCCTCATCTTTGTCGTCATATTTATTTATTTTTTGGCTCCAGCCTTCTTCAGGTGGTTGGAATGTCGAACTAAACCCTTTATTTTGTTCACTGGAGTAGACTGTTCTAGTTCCACGTGCCATGTTTAATGGATGTCAGTTATCAATTATCTCCTGTTAATTCACCTCTCAAAGTTCTCCACTGCCTTAACTGGGTATTGAACTCACACTCTTTGGGTCCTGTCACTGGATCTAACCAACGCCTTTATCCACTGAGCCATGTGTCCTTGAGCAACTTGGTCTTACTGTAAATAACAATAACTATTCATCACAGAAATTCAAATGTAAAAAATAAGAAAACAAAAATGTCCGTCCATATATAAGGATATTAGATTGAATGTTTTAGTACTGATATAAAATAATTCTGTAATTACTTATTGTAACCTTTTTAGCTCATTCCAGAAATTCAGTGTTATATTCCGTGCTAATAGGAATATATACTTGAAAAAGAAGGTGGATAAAATAAGTAAAGGTTTATTGTGTAAACCAGTACAATATGAATAAAGTTAAGGTCATCACAAGTCAATCCACTAGTGAGTGCAACTATTGGAAGGTCAGTAGTTCTTGTTTAAGTCTGAGTCATATTCAACAGATCTTGGCTAGACTCCGTAGTCTGTTGACTTACAGATACTTATAGGCAGTTACTACCTATAATTTAGTCACTCATGGGGGTGACAGGTTATTCCATTACATCATTCAGGCAAAATGAGAACTATCTATTGTTGTTGATGGAATAAAGTGTTTCATTTGAAATGACCATCAAAATACAAAGACATTACATTTGAATGTTTGAGGAGGCCAGAAAGCACACCAGCCAAAATATTTTGATTAGTGAGGCCCATAAATTATGCTAACTCCTTGTTCCTGATATTTAAGCAGAAAATGAATAAACTTTGGATACACCCCATTAATATTGTATGAATAAACAGTAGATACAAATGGTCTGCAACTTGCAAAGAGACTTCCTTGTGGTATGATGTTTATGGGAAATATGGTTTTTGCTTCTTGTTTGTTCTGTATAATTAAAATCTGAGATATCTATAAATTACTGGCATCAAATGATATTTCATGAGATTTCTTTGAAAAGATACAGAGTTCTTGTAAATTATTGTCGGGTCCAATTTATTGTCAAAGGGGAGTTTTTTTTGTTTTTTTTTTTCCTGATGACAAAATCTCCAATTGAACAACAGAAAAGACAAGTCTCTACAAAAAGAAACTTTTAACATATAATTTACTGGGTAATACTTTAAGTTTCACTCTGATCATAGTCATTTTACATGCATACTAACAATTTTTTTTTTCTCTGCCCAATTTAGTCCTTTTTTTTCTTTCTCTTTTTTTCTTATATTTACTCTTTTCTTTCTCTTTTTCCTTATATCCACTCTTTTTCTTTTTTTTCTCTTTCTCTTTTTCTCTTTCTCTTTTTTCTCTTTTTCCTTTTCCTTTTTCTTTTTCCTTTTTTCTTTTTTTTTTTTTTTTTACTTTTTTTTTTTTTTTTTCTTTTTTTTTTTCCTTTTTTTTTTTCTTTTTCCTTTTTCCTTTTTCCTTTTTTTTTTCCTTTTCCTTTTTCTTTCCTTTTCTTTTTCCTTTTTTTTTCCTTTTTCTTTTTTTTTTTTCCTTTTTTTTTTTTCCTTTTTTCTTTTTTTTTTTTTTTTTTTCTTTTTTTTTTTTTTTTTTTTTTTTTCCTTTTTTTTTTTTCTTTTTTTTTTTCTTTTTTCTTTTTCTGTTTTAATTTCTTTTTTTTTTTTTTTTTTGCAAATTTTTCTTTTTTACTTTGAAGAGACCTTTCTTTTTTTTTCATTTTTCTTTCATGGTTTTCTTTTTTTTTTGTTTTTTTCTGTTTCTTTTTTTTTTTTTTTTCTTTTTTTTTTTCTTTTTTTTTTTTTTTTTCCTTTTTTTCTTTTTCTTTTTTCTTTTTTTTTTTTTCTCTTTCTTCTCTCTTTTTTTAATTTCTCTTTCATCTTTCTCTTTTTTCCTTTCTTTTAGAAATTTTTCTCTTTTCCTTTCTTTTTCTTCTTTTCTCTTTTTCCTTTTTTTTTCTCCTTTTCTGTTTTTTCCTTTCTTTTTTTCTCCTTTTCTTTTTTCTTTTCCCAAAATTTTTTCTTTTTTCTTTTTTTTTTCTCTTTTTTTCTTTTTTCTTTTCTTTTCTTCCTTTTCATTTTTCTTTTTCTTTTCTCCTTTTTCCTTTCTTTTTTCCTTTTCCTTTTTTTTTCTCCTTTTTCCTTTCTTTTCTCCTTTTCCTTTCTTTTTTCTTTTTTCCTTTCTTTTTCTCCTTTTCCTTTCTTTTTCCTTTTTTTTCCTTTTTTTTTCCTTTTTTTCCTTTTCTTTTCTCCTTTTTTCCTTTCTTTTCTTTTTTTCCTTTTTTTTCTTCTTTTTTCCTTTTTTTTCTTCTTTTTCCTTTCTTTTCTCCTTTTCCTTTTTTTCTCCTTTTTCCTTTCTTTTTCTTTTTTCCTTTCTTTTTTTTCTCTTCTTTTTCATTTTTTTCTTCTTTTTCTCTCATTTTTCTCTTCTCTCTTTCTTGCTCTTCTCTTCTCTCTTTCTCTTCTCTCCTCTTCTTTTCTCTCTTTCTCTCCTCTTCTCCCTTTCATTCCTTTTTCTTTTTCGCGTTTCCTTTTTTTCTGTGTCTTTATTTACCGTTTTTTTTTTTTTTTTTTTTTTTTTTTTATGTAAAAATAAATTCAAATTTATTTTTGAAAGCAAAGAAACTGACAAATTATTTTCATTTTTTCCCTGATCACCAAAGAAACATGGCATCAATTGTTTATCCAGAGGAAACAATGTACTCTTTTTTTCTTAACTAATTCTAGACCCGTTTTATTAATTCCTGTCTTCAGTTGCTAAAATTAGAAGTAATTTTGTCAAATTTCAGTTTTTGAGTTGAAAAATTTGTTACAGCTAATTTTTCTTATTACGACTTGGTTTGTAGTGGGTTTGATTCAATAGGGAATTTAAGGTATTCTGTTCTGATAGTTATTTTTACCTGAAAATGCTTCAAATATCTCAACTTTTTTATATTTAAAAAAAAAAAAAAAAATTCATTTGCTTTATTTTGCTGTTGTTATAAAGTTTTAAAAAACATGGTAAGCACACAAGATTTATTTAAAATTTGTCTTTTTTAAATTTAAATTTTTCAATTTAAATTCAGCTGGGCAGAATTTGATTTAAGCTTCCTGTGCCTTAGCAAAAAAAAAAAAAAATTGGACATTTTTATAATTTTATGAAAAAAATTCATAGCTCTAGTTTTATCAAGAAACAGAAATTAGTAAATTTCATTAATTCACTTATTACCCCCAGTTTGCACACCTTCTTTGTTTTTTTGAACAGGAGTCCATTGCTTCCTGTTCAGGATTGGGTTTTTGGTTCTTCTCTCATTCTCAGTAGCCCCTTGCATCTTAGTGGCATTATTACCTTGTTCAGGCTGAATTGATTAAAAGAAAAAAAAACAAAAAACTTCTGGATGCATTGCGGGCATGTGTTCAAAACTTAAGGGTGGGAGAGATTAACTTCACCTCTCAGGTGGGTGTTTATATATGTTTATTTAAATACTGCAGTAAACTCCAAAACTGCTATGCATAGACTAAAACAGTGGTATCAAATTCTTGGACATTGCAATCTGAAAGACATTATATAGCTACAAGAAGTTGTGGAAAACATGAAAATTACTGATAAAACAAATTTAAACTGTGAAATGTGTTTCCAAGGCAAAATGGTACAATATTGTTGTAACCTACGGAAGATTACTGAATAGAATAATTAAACGAAGGTTGGTAATGAACGATAATACTTAGGACAAGAACAACACAGATAAGATTCACCAGCAGCACATAAAAGTAGTAGTAACTGCTAGATGTGAGTCAAATAAATTCCACAATGAATCTCCAACTGCAGTTATCAGTTATCTCCTGTTAATTTCCCTCTGAAAGTTCTCCACTGCCTTAACCGAGTATTGAACTTTTGGGTCCTGTCACTGGATCTAATCAATGCCTTTATCCAGTGTGCCGTTGTATAAACTATGGTGACAAAGATGAGGACAATAGTCTGAATAATGTAAATAATGTACATGATACCTCATCTCAGAAATATAGACAGATATTGATATGACAGTTGAATTGTCACAACAAATATGTATTGTAACGCATTACCCACTGATTGGTGATTTCTTGCCAAATTGGTGTCCATATTGTCTGATTTTGATCTTGCCAATGTGACTTCCATCTTCTGGTTTTCTCCTAGATTTTGGATAGGAATCATTCCCTTGTTCAATTTTAAATTTAATTTAAATCAAAGGGGGGGGAAAAAAATTCAGTGAGGGGTTTTGTTCCCCGGGGACTCCTTTTGATCAAAATGAAATATACTTATCCAAGTACCTTGGGTAATCTAGTTTCAGAATATATATGGTTATAGAGGTCTATCTCCAAAAACCTGGAAGTTTGATAACAGGCACAGAAGCTACAACTTTATATATAAGGTGCCCATTTATCATTAGGCGAGCTATCACCCTGGCCAGTCTGACACTGCTGTAAGCAATGATAAAGCCATTCAAAATCCCAGTCTCTTTTGGTATTACCCCTTAGCTGGGGGAAGAAGAGATGAAGACACCTGTTTCTCTTGGGTATTGTATGTTTTTATTGACTTCTATGTGACACGTCCACAATTCTTTGTATCTCTTAATATATTTTGTCTTTTTTTATCCCTTCTAACGCTTGTTCCACCATCCATTTACTCAAAGCTTGCTAGGCATGGGTTATGTGTTATCTTATGTCCCTCTTGCCTTCAATCTGCCCTGTGAGTATCAAATTTTTCAAGCCCTCTTTCCTCATTATGTACCTTAGAAATTTCAGATTTCTTTCTGATTCAAAGTATGAGTTTTTTTCTTGTTTTTTTTTTACATGTTTAGTCCATGGTATCCTCAGCATCTTTCTGTAGAACCCTCTGTTGTTTCAAGTCTCTTCATCTTTGAGGAGATTGTCCAGCATTCACTGCCATAATGGAATACTGATATTACATAACAGTTCAGTGGGAGGCACAGTGGAGTAATGGATAGCAGCACAGATTGAAGAATTGGAGAGCTAAATTCAAATTCCAGTCGAATCCATTACATTCACTTATGTACTAATACCCTTGAGAAAGGCAGCTAAAATAGCAGGACAGACAGGGTTCTATAGCTTTCGGTGGCAACTGGTCTACTGCAGAAAGAAATGGCAACATACTGTGGGGGAAAAAAATCTGCTTCATCAGTCATATATTGAAAGATACATGATCACCTAAGTGTGTATCATGCATGGCATATAACTGACTCTTTTCTAAGTTTCTATTGCTTCAAGTCTCTATCTTCATCTTTGAGGAGATTGTCCAGCATTCACTGCCATATAGGAGGACTGATATTACATAACAGTTCAGTACTCTTTTCTTTGTTTCTCTTGCTTCAAGTCTCTTCTTCATCTGTGAGGAGATTGTCTTTTCTTAATACTTTGCTTAGTTTATCAAAGGCATCTTTGGATATCACAATGCATATTTGGATTTTAGCGTTGTACTTTCCATCCTCTGTTAAAACACTTCCCAGATATTTATTGTATTTGTTTGATTTTGATATATCTCCATTTTGTAATTTGCATGTTGGGTTGTCCCTTTTGCTAACAACCATGCATTCTTTCTTTCTTTCTTGCTTTCTTTCACTACCTTTTGTAGGAGTTCTTGTAGTTTCCTTCTTATGCAGATGACATAGAGTTGATAGAAGGCATATCTGATCAGTTCAAAAAGGTCAAATTAGCAACTGATGTAAAAGAAAGTACCTATAATTTTTTGTTAACTGAGACAAGGAATGGCTTGTTAATTTTAATGCCTCCAAAATGAAACTGCTCTTTTAATTTTAAAACTCTTTTTGGTCTTTCGTAATTATGGCTGATGCTAACCTTCAGGAGAGCAGCTCACTGCACCTTCTTTTGCTACCGTTTTCTGCTGACATGAATAAAGGATCAATAGCTAGGTCAGCTGGTAGAAAAATTAGTTCACAATTTTTCTTGCCAGAATCTATAATAATGATTTTTTTCTATTTCTTAATACTTTGCTTAGCTTTTAGAAGGTATCTTTTGCTATCTCAATGTGCCTTCTGATTTTAGTGTTGTCTGTTAAAACACTTCCCAGATATTTAAATTGTTGTACTTGTTTGATTTTGATCTCTCTAGTTTGTAATTTGTACATTGGACAGTTCCTTTTGCTTACGATGTCTTTTATATGTATTAGCAACAATCAAAATCTATTTTCAAATACATTGAATAATAGATCAGTGATTCTATTGACAGATACGCATGAACTTCTTCAAAGAGTTATGCAATGTCATAATAATTTGTAGAAGTGTTTCCATACAGAAAGAATACACACATCTCATCTGAATGAAGCCAATTTGATTCTGCTAGAGAGGCCTTCTGTTGTCTACTCTATCGACAGATGTATCAACAACTGCAAAAAGAAAAAGATAGAAAAAGAAAGTTGTTGATAGTATTAACTGCTCCGCATTATCATTCATGGAATATGTGAGGGGAAAATGGGTTGGAGATGTCGATTTTAAAAGACGAATTGGGAGAAAAGTAAAAAATTATGAATGAGTCTGCAATCAGTCATCTTGGAATAATTTTAATACTTATCCACTTAAAATCTCCGAGAAAGAAAGAGAAAATGAATTAAATCAGAATAAACATGAGAAAGATGGGAAACGGGAAATATACAGTTCAATTTCTGGTTGAGGAGACGAAATATTTCAGCCGCTGACCCATATGATTTTGAAGAGGGGGGGGCCAATAATTGGGGAAATCAAAAGAAAAGATGATTTATTTTTGTTGTAACTTAGAAAAAATTACTGAATGAGGAATATCCAAAAACGGAGGTTGGAAATGAAATAGTAATCTTTATAGCATCAACAAAATACAATACCTGCTAGCAGCATGGAGTAGGTAAACCACTGCTAGGGGTCGACTACTTAGACAGCATATTACCCTCACTTAGAATAGTGTCCAACATATTTATGAGTATTAAGATATACCCATTAGTGTTCATAGGTATGGTATATAACAATAGTGAAAACCATTGGCAATGCATTTTTACAGTGAAAACCATTGGCAATGCATTGTTATATTTGTTGTAACCTAGAAAGTGTTACTGAATGAGAAATAACCAAAATGAAGGTTGGAAATGAAATGGTAATCTTTATAACATCAACAAAATACAATACTCGCCAGCGGCGTGAAGTAGGTAAACCACTGCTAGTTGAGGACTACTTAGACAGCATATTACCCCAACTTACAATAGTGTTCAACATCTTTATGAAGATTGGGACATACTCATTAGTTTTCATAGGTACAGTATATAACAATTTTTGTTTTTGTTTTTCCAAAAATGTCATGTGCCTTCAGAACATAGGTGTTCACAGCTCTTCACAATTTCTTTTTCTTCATGATCTGTGATTTGTCAAGCATTCTTTGGAAAGATAGTGGAGTCATATCTCCTTGGCTTCCATACAGTTAACTTCAGAGTTGTCCTCCTCATAGACTGCTTGATGCCCAAGTTGAGAAATTTCAACAAAATACAATATTCACTAGTGGCATGAAGTAATTAAACCACTGCTAGTAGTGGACTACT